TTGGTTTCGATTACGCGCGGCGACACAACGGTATCATTGCTACAAAGCTCGTTTGCGTATCAACCCTTGTGTGCCTTGTGATGCAATGTCGTGTTCAATGCTATGCTGGACCACGATCCACATATGAGGGAAGCACGTTTGACTGTGTAATACGAGCTCCTCGTCCGTGACAAGCTCGAAATATGCAGATTCTCTCGACTAACGAGTTAAAAAACGTTACTGCTGTAGCTGTTGCCGTTGGACACCTTTGTCGTCGACGTACCAGTTTGGTTTTTGTTACGATTAGAACAGTATCTAGAACGTGATACGTCTTGTAAATATTTTTGAGTCACTTAAATAAGATAGAAAAAATTAGATTAAATGTTATTAATTACTCTTATTTTCTGTTTTCTTTTTCTTTTTTTTAACTTCATTTAACTTTTTGCGCTTTATATTTTCCGTTGACTCATGTAACTTGGAGGTAGTTTCTGTTGAAATTGTTCGAGCGCGAGAATAGTAGGATTTACGACGGCCCGAAGGTCTTACGATCCTTTTATATGAGTCGGACGCACGATTTACATTCTATAGCAACAAGAAGCAATAATGACTTTGGGGATTAAAGTTTGTTGTTGGCACGATTCACCACATAGACTCGAACTTTCAGATTTTTCGGATTAACGTTCATGCTAATCCCGTGATATTGGAAACAGTTTTACGAGCAGCGTCTTTCATAGTTAGTTTTTTACAACATATATTTCGATCTCAAGAAATTTTTCGTGACACAAGTTAAGAAATACGATGTTTTATGAGGATCTAACAAAGTCGGCGGCGCTCTATCTATCTTAGTTAGGGACGAAACTGATACGATACCAATTTAATAAGCTTTCGTGTAATCGAAGAATTCATTGCTACAAGATTCACATAATTATCTTTATTAGCTGAACAGATCAAAGCTAATTATTACTTTTTTATGATCTAAAGCTAATTACAATGTGTCGATAAGATAAGTATAATAGGTATGACATATAATAGATGTTTGTCGCGATGAAGCATATAAAAAGAGCAACTTTATTAATACAATAGATTATTAATATTGAGTTTCCAGTTTTTTTATGCAACCATAAGAATTCAATTCAAATGGTAGTTGTCTGACACAATATTTTATTTTTTTTGTTTGTAGAAGGTAGTAAAAAAAGTAAATATTAAATGCATATTCTTTATTTATTTATGATAACATATCTTTATAACGCCGATAGTAATTCTGATAAGATTGTTTTTATATTTTATGTGTTACTTTTATTGCGTTTAATAATATTTTTATTTTATATCTTAAGAATAATATTTTTCTATTTTAGAAATGCGCGCTTTGCCTTGGACTTTAAAAGTAACGTATTTATTTATCTTACTGATTTTCTAAGGATATCTCAATGAATGATAACACCTATACTGATTTCGAATTTTGATGTAGAACATGCTTCTCATTACAACACTTCTCTTAAAGCTATACTATTTCCAATCCTATATTGGAAGCTGTTCATTGCAAGTTGTTCGTTTGCGCTTGTTTGCTAGATTTGACTTTAAACATACCATTTAACTTCAAAACAATAGGATCCAAAAGATATGAAAAGAATTACGAGAATAGCAAGAAAATTAAGGCCAGTACCAAAGATACCTTAAATATAACTATACGACTACAATATGAAATTATCTCTGCCGGCTAGTGTTTCACGAATGGATCATGTTTCTTTGTAACAGTCTAGTCAATATATAATCAAAGAGTACGGACAGTCATTCATAACAGTTGTCATCATCGTGCAATATAAGAACTCTTTCTTCACTTTAGAGAGATACATCCAAATATCATCAATCTTATTTCAACAGTCCCGCATTTAACTATATACACTTCTCGGTTTCTCTTCTGCGAAAGGATTCGGTCAGATAAGAAACGAATATAAACGTATCGTGACGAAATATGCACAACAGCCGTCCATCCTGTCGTGTCGTTCACGGGACCAAATGATATCGTTTGTAACGCTCCTCATATTACGTAATCGTACCTGCCGATAATATGAGCATAGATTACTGAGAATCGCGTAGCAACAGAGTGGATTAAAACCTGTGATAATGTAGATTTCCTTTCGGTTGATATATGAGAATTACAAAGTAGTAGAGAATTACCGAATGCATATCATTTAAGATATTTTTTATATATTTTCTATATATTTTCTATTTGTGTACTAATTTGCAAAAGGACTTAATACTTATAAATTTGTTTATAAATTGTTTATAAATGAATATTGGAAATTGTAGCTTGATTTTCAGGCATCTATTATTACATATTTAAATTTTTACCAATGACAAATTAATTTGTTATAAGTTCTTTTATAAAATACTGCAAAAAAGATACGATATTTAGGTAACCGGTCATTTAAATCGTATCTGTGGATTTTTTAAATCATATTTCCTTTAAAAGTATTAAATTTATGTATAAGTATAAAAATAATTAATAATATGAAACTATTAATTGATTCCGTTTATTAATTTATGCGTTAATTTTTATTCGTTATTCGTTACAAATAACTTTTTTTCAGTAAATAAACGCGTAATAGTAAAAAGTTATTTTTCAAAGTGACTTTTCTAATCTTAGCACACAATTTTAGTGTGCAGTTAGTTATCAGACAGTCATAAAAAATTGCAACGTCATTACCAAATTGTTCATTATCATATAAAAAAATAACGATTAAAGTAATTTCTCATCCCTGTTAATTAATAATATAAAATATTCATGAAGGTGATTTCAGCAACACCTACGCATTCAGCAATTCTTCCCTACATAACAGGAGAGGGAGGAGTCATACATATAAGAGTTTATGAAATTAATAATTAATGTTTATATAATTAATATTATATTATTCCTTATATAAATGGGGAAATCTTGATGATATGAAGATAAATTTTTATGTGTAACATAAACTGGCTAATATTTTAATATAATTTTTTTTGTGATTCGAAAATTGAAGTATAATTTCAATACTCATTTCTCTCTCTCTCTATTCTTTCTTTATATATATGTAGCTAAACTTAACTTAAAAATCTTTATTAAAATATTATATAAACATAAACTATTACATGTGCTTCTGATAAACAAATGACTTGAATTTAATTTTTGAACCGTCGCTTTTTAAAAACCTTTTCGTAATATATTTTCGAAATAATAGGTATGTATAAAAACTTTTTAAATAAGTGTACTCATACATATTACCATGTTTGTTTGTTAAACAAAATTACAGCATTTGATTGTTTAATTTGTTAATAATTTTACAGTTAATAATTTCAGTTATCAAAGAAATATGAGTTATATACAAAACGATGTGAAATATTAAATTTGATAAAGATTAAACGATACATGATTCATGTGACTGCTTCAGAGTTCAGAATTGATTGCAGAGTTAAGGATTAATAATAAATATATTTGCTATATACGATTGCTATATACGTGTTACGGTGTTCTCCTTTATATGCGTATTATAGTGCATCTCATGCAAAATGGCGTCGCACGGTGAAAGTTCGTGGTAAGCAGTAGATGCTTGGAGAACGGAAATGAGAGAATTTCCGGGTAACAATTTCCTCTTTGCTTCGTTCTCTTATGATGCAAGGCGAATTAAAAAACGAAAGAAGAACCTTAATTCTTCAGTCAATATATTACGTGGTCACAAAGTATTATATTGATAGGAATATGACGGCAGGCATTGTACTATGTATAAGAAATTGTATCGTTTCATGAAATTGTATTCAGAAATTGTATATTTTTTATGTTCACAAAAAAATTATATTATTTCATAATGTCCGTTTTATATCGCTATACATAAAGCAAAAAATCTGGCAAAAGAAATATTACGATAAATATATTCGGCATATAGTTGATATAATAATACAGTTATTAGATATAATAATACAGTTGATATAGTTTTGATATAGTATATAATAATTTTGCATAGAGCACTAGTCTGCCAAAATGATGGTGCCTCTCTCAGTTCCAGTCAAAAGTTTGGATTTTTATTTTACAGATACAGTACTATGCATAGCTCATAAGTACGTAACAAAATTTTGATAAGAATTGTATAAAACATTTACTATGCATATAAAGAGTACAACAATATATAATATTATAACCTAAGGAAAATGTCTCTCGGAGTAAACTCTGATACATAGGAACATGGTGGAAATTTGATTGATTATTTTCAGTATTGCTACCGTCATTATGCGCAATGTTTCACCTTATTAATTCCACCATGCATAGGAATATATGGCCAATGTTCTTTTAGATAGTATTATAGTTCAATGGGCCAAAAACGTACCTGCGCGCGAACTTTAAAAGGCACGCTGCACATACGATATTCCCTTCTCCATATCGACAGGTTCCTCGTCCTTTTCCCCGGAACCCTTCCTCGTCTCGGCTCCTCCCCCATCGCTCTCTATTCTTCCTCTCTCGCTCTCATCGTGTGCACACGCGCGCACAGCAGAATGTGGTTGGCCAGATACACCTGGGCGCGTAAAAGGAGGGAACCAACACCAAGCGTTCCAGCGGCACGGCACTTGCATCGCGCCGTTGTCTATTCCGTTGGGTCGTACATATCGGGTTCTCAGCGGTAGAGGGAGAAAAAGGGAGCTATCGACATTAACTGGGAGTAGGACAGTATTGGTGTTCAAGAGTAGACGAGTGTCGAGGGCATGAAAGGCAAGGGGCCATTTCCTTATTTTAAAAACGAGTCTTTAGTAGGCGGAGTTACAACTACCAGATGCGCCACCATTGGTTGCCACAATGTCTAATATATCATAACGTAACTGTCGTAGAACTATTGTCCGCGATTCTATTGGCTTTAAGACTCCATTTATCTTTAAATCCATTATTAACCCGCTTCACAGATTTTTTTAGTTTAGATATCCATGCATGTATTTATTTAATACGTGCTGCTCACATAATATATTTCTCTCACGTTTGAATTTTTCTTGTATTTCAGACGGTCTCTCGAGTTTACTGATATATACATTGCAGGAGATGTACAAATCTTTCACAGTGTGGCGTAATCCCACAAAGATAGAGCGAATCTTTCGCATTCTCGCCAACTATGCTTGTGAAATAGACTCGAGGATCAAATTTAATGGTTTTTTGGAATCTACTAAACACTGGATTTTACAAGGTAAGACATTTTTCAATATTTTTGTTAAGATAAAAAAATGTAATACTTTTGACAAAAATACTATCAAACACATCTTAATTTTCTATTTTAATTTTTAAATTAATGATTTAGAAATATATTAAATGCGATCTAAATATTAAAAAAATATGTTTATTTTTAAAAATAAAATTATTATATAGCAATGAATGATAAATATTATAATTTATAATGATGTTAAATATAAAATATTTAAAATTAAAGAGGAAGATTTTTGTATCTGTTACTTATATAATAAAAAGAAATAAGTATTATATATAATATTTATTTCTTTTTATTATATAAATAGTAATAAAATAGAAATAAGTAGTATATATGATAAATCCAATATTATAAAATATTAATTCGAATTTTTTTTTCTCATAGCCTCAATAATTCATCGTTCGAAAATTATTCGTCAGAATTTCGCGCAGAATGTAATTTTACTATCTATAATTATATATTTAATGTATTATCCATTTTTATTTAAATATTATTTATTTCCACCTTGAATTATATATAATTACTAAATTTTTGAAACTTAACACGTTCCGTTAATTATTGACAAAATTCGTAATTAGATTTGATTACTTCTTGACAATGCTTTTGAATTCCATGGAGTAGTAACAAGAATTGATTACATTTAAACTAAAGTGTAAATTGTATGCACATTTATGCATTCGAAAATTGATACAAACTTAATTGGAACCAGCAACAAGAAGATATCTTAAACATTTATGGATATCAGATATAAACCATCAAAATAGCTTGTAAATACTAAAAGTCTAAGTACTGAAATTATAATTTTACTGAAAATTGAAAGCTTTATTATTGTGATTTAAAAGATTGCAACGATTTTTTTAAATCAAGAAATTGTATTGTTTTATAATGTCTGTTACATATATTGAACTGTATATTTAATGTAAAACAGAAATATTTGCAGAAGGAATTACAGTAAATAATTTATTTTTCGTTTTTAAATTACTTAAATTTTGGCTATGAATCGCACGTGTTTATTTCCTTCTCTCAAGAGCCTTACCAACTTCAATATGAACCCCGCGTGTACCTGACATCTATAAGAAAATACGTTCTCGGAAGTTATCTTAAAACATATTTTGATGCAAGCTGATGCATGATAAGTATTATAAAGCACTCGATAATTATTGCAAAATCAATTATCGCAACACGTGAAGACAACTTTGAAAAAGATATAAAAAAGATCGAGATGAAACATCTTGGTTTTTTCATCTTAGAAGAAACATTTACTCTCATCATTGAAGATAATACCTTGCGGTGTCATGAAAATCATGCAAACATGTGAGAACCTGTTTAATGTCGCGATGGTACATTTAAAATACAATTCGCAAGTTCTACTTGCACATCCGACATTTTTAATTCCATTGTATTCATCGAAACGCTTCACAGAAAAGCTTCTTGTTCGCAATGTCAAAGTGGATAATACATGGATAACATTATTGATGATTTTCTACACCTGAAGATCTTTTTCTTGCATCGAAAGTTCTGTTTAGAACAGTGATGTTGCTAAAAAAGAATTGATGATTTTATATAACTTCACTGAGAAAAATGGTTTGGTTGAAAATCGATAAACCAGAATCTTCTGGTTTGTCCATTTTCAACTAAACCATTTTTCCTAGTGTTCACAATCAAAATAAGAAATAATATTGCTTACAAGTAAGGATTATGTGCAGATATAAATAATAAATAAATGACTTAGATGAACCTTTTTACTTTCCATTATTCACTTCATTGATAAAGCATTTTACTAAAGGATTATCGACAAATTAAAAATATTTAGTTTATGGGACCTAAATGGAGAGTTACCAATAATACATTTCACATATACGACTATATTAGAAGCTGTCTGACGTACAAAACTAACATATTACCGTTGCCACTTAAAATACTCCGCAGTAGATATGCGAACTGTCGTGCCAAGCAGGAATCGTTACTGGATATTTCTGCAGTATAATGTATGTAGTCGTCATTACATACTCGTCTTAACTCTCCGACTGCTAAATTTTACTATTGGATAACAGCCAACGTAAACGAAAATGAACTTTGCCACTACGTCTGGTTTCAGTACATTCAAGGTCGATATTTTATTTCCGCTTCTTAAAAAGATATACTACGCGTAAAAATGATACCTATAAATGGTTGTCTGAAAAACATTAAAAACGAGAAAATCGATCGGTATTCGTTAAACCATTTCAATATTCTGATAAGAATTTTTAAGCTACTCAAGCTTGAAATGTAAAAAGATACAATTAATTGGATTATTAAAGTATGCGCTGCAGATCCTGTTTTATCCCGAAGAGAGTAAGAAGCGATCTAAGGCAAGTGATCAAAGAAAGGTACCATGCTTTTTGCTAACTATGACCGTGGATAATCAATACTCGGACAAACCTTCCTTCCTCCATCGTAAATTGCTTTGGTTCCGGATCACTGACCATTTGCCCAGAACCGTTGCGAGATATTTAACGATCAACGAACGATTTGCGGTAGTGTTAAATTTATAACTTTACTATTGCACCGTGTCGCATTTAACAGCAGTTGTTGACGATTAGTATCATTGCAGATCTCGCAATCAAGTACGTGATGCGCTATTTAATAAGCTCATGATACAGCCTCGTATAAATATCACTTTGTATGACGTATTTTTGCGTGAGGCTGAAGTCATTAGTTTCAATCTATGTGTTCGCGCGTGTCATAATTATATCTTTTTTATTGAGTAAGTTTGCGTGTGTTAAAAATAGAATTTTAAAAATTAATTTCATTTAATATTGTCTAAAAATTTAATTTTGAAATGTGTTTTTCGTTACATTTTGATGTCTCAAATCAAGTTATTTCTCAATCACGGATTTTCTTACGAATTTAGATTGTCCTATTCATAAAGAAGATTTGAAATTGTCATCTGTAGCTTCAATAATTTTGTATAATTTTTAATTTTTTAATTTTAATAATTAAAGTTTTTACCATACCAGATATATTTAAATATTTCCGATTAGAGTTATGTATTCAATTAAATTCATGAAAGAGAGAGAGTGAAATGCTTAAGTAGTCAAAAGGACCATATATAATGTGTTAGCAGCCAATTAACTGATATTTGCTCTAATCTGACCATTATAAATCGCTTAAGCCGCTTAGTTTATTAAAAAAATAGAGTACATAATTCTCTCTCTCTCTCTCTCTCTCTCAAAATAGATTATGATTTTAAAACATACAATCTAATCACATACAATACTTGTTACAAATGAGATTCATAATCGAATATGATTTTATGAATTTTATTAATTGGAAAATTTTACATTAAAAATATTATTACTACATAGGATGCTTGTTATATTCTTATTATTTTTGTATATTTATATATATTTTTGTCATGTTTCGAATAACTGTTATATCTATATAGTTATATCAGTCATACTAGTATTACTTTTATTAATTATTGTTATCATATCATAATTTATGATCGAATCATCTAACTCATTTTTACAGATTCTCTAATTAGTCGTTGCTCAATAAATATTTTGTTGTCATTATATTGTTAATCCTTATCGCTATCGTTTTGAAATAAATATCACAAAGAATCAATGCAATCACGATCTTGTTTTCCTCGGTTGAATAGCTACAATACATTTAAGTCGACGCGAAAAGCGACATTCTAACGACGATGATATGAACAAGAAGACGATTAATGGCTTCACACTTTACTAAGCATGGTTACACACTGTTACTAACAAACACATGAAATCATAAGGATACAAAGCCAATGTGAGCCAAACACATAAAATATATGAATTCATACAAGTATCAAATACTGTGTGGTAAAATTAACGTATAGAAATAATATATTAACATTAGAATATAAAGTGCTTGAGTCGTCAGTTGAAACACAAAAAAAACTATCGCGAGGGCTAATGATCAAAGTACATATTTTAATTTAACTTAATATATAATTCTGAAACTTCCCAAACGTAATTTAAAATTACATGAATTTTATGAAAAATACATTTGTCTTCCTGGAAAAAGATATGTGCTTTTCATTGACTAATTTGACATATCACGAGTGTCTGACAAGTCTAAATGCATTGGAATGACACTCACTTAAATAGCGGATGTCCACACCTCTGCACACGTGTCAGAGATTAATGACGCTCTTTGTGGAGAAGTAAGAATGCTTTGCCATAAGAACAGTAATTGCGGCAGAGGTAGCGGTTTAGTGTAAATAATGAATCAGCAATACTAATGTGCGTATGGTGTACGTTAACTGCCTCCCACATATCAATATAGCCGCTGCAATTAGCACGAATGTAAAATAAGCACATTACAACGATGCCACTTAATTAAATTATTGCGTTTGAGATAATTTTTTATGTTACACAAAAAGAACTATTATATTAATATAAACTTAACTTCTTTTTACAATTAAATTAAAAATAAAAAAATTAAAATGTATTAAAAATAAAATACTTGATTGATTATTTGCGAGAAATAATTAGGATTTTAAAAAATATAACGTTGTTTCAACGTATAAATATACATCAGTTTAAAGTTCAAGGCATGATATTCGATGTTCTCAAGTTCAAGTCGTGAAATGATTAATAACTCGTTACCGCGACCGACATAGTTTTACGCAATTACAGTGTAGCATGAATTATGTCGTAATTTAATGATAATTGCATGCTGACATAATGATATCGAGAAAAAAGATGAACTCGCTGTGTCGCGTAATAAAAATGCATTCGATTGCTCCTCAGTTGCCGGTTTATCAATGATTTGTTTGCTGTATGAATTCTAGTGAAGTAAATTGGATCGTTTGATTAACGCAATTACATAAGTGTTAATTATTTTAATACAATTACATAATTATTAATTATATAAAGATAATAAATAATTTAAAGTTTGTACAGAATAAATGTCGGTCAGTTGCTGCAGTTGTGATCATGTTGCATAAAAAACGCGAT